CAGTCGTATCAGTGATAATAGGCACAGATGATAATTCAGTTTCAAATTGCACATAGATATCCCACATCGATTTTAATCATGCAAGCAAGGGTCTTCGGAGCATGGTATTCCATGCAAAAAATGTTTGAACTTGATCAAATTCAATCAAGGTACCACTAACCGTTCGATTTCATCTGGAAAGCGGTTGGATGGGCATACGGAACAGGATATAATCATTCTATTTTAGTCCCGGGAGGGAAACGGGCACCGTCTTCAAGAGGTTTCGTGTAGTCACATTCGTTCAGCTAACCAATTCAATTCCCCACAATTTGTTACGAGATCACGGATGTTCACCTATCTTCTTTTTCCTTTATCCCAAATTGTTTCTCCAGCGACAGGAATACAAAAGGTGCGGATGGAAGAACGACAAATGCGCCGAACAACCGAATTAGTCTTCCAGTTAGTCCACCAGAGCTGTACAACCAGTATATCAAACACATCCATTGACCGAGTTCAGAGGCGTAAGGAAAGCACGAATCCAGGTGCAACGCTTACAATAGTCTCCACGTAAGCTGTTGCAACTCCATGAAGACGCGGTAGAGCTAAACTCATATTCATATTTTGGAAGGAACTGATAGCCTATATGCCGTCCGTCCTGGGGCACCTTGAACACTACTTAAACCATCTGGAAGAGCTTATGAATTTTCAAGCCACATAGTCAATGGGGTGCCACAGATGTAACGGTTTTCGGTGATATATCGTTTAGTGGAACACATTAGAAGGACTAACCACAAATCAAACATGGAACTAACCATTAAATCGGACTTTTCAGGCACGCTTCCGGTCGTGATGGTTTCAGTTCCGTGATCTTTCATGTATTTGTGCCACAATTTATTGTTAAACAACTGTTTGTCAGCCGTGGNTCAAGTGACGCTGTGTACTCGTGAGCCCCGATACGGCCACATGTAACGCCAGTGTGTCCACAAATCGCGTCTTTGTACCCTATATTGATGGATGGGAATTGTGGGCAAATCACATGGTTGAAACTAGGCATTACATGTGGTAAATACTCTTCCTCGATGCGGGCACGATCAAAACTGACAAAATGACCGATCACACATTTGATTCGATTCAGGTCAGTGGACAGTCGAATGAGTGCCTCGGGTGGTTTGGGATCACAGGCGGCTGGTGATAGTGTCGGTGATACCCAGGAATACCTGAAAAATGCAATAGGAATAGTATTTTTTCAAAAAAAAAGACAGTCATTACCAGGCGATAGGTGAAAGGGCGACAGCCATTGTCGGAGCGTTACCTTCGGCCAAAATTACCTCGGTATCGAAAAAGAGAACATCCTCTGAGGGAACATTGACGGGACAAGAATGTCCGTGAAAATATCTGCGAAACAAGATGTATGCCTGCCCGAAAAAAGATAACTCACCTGGTCCAACCGGGACTGGTGCTCCAATGATCCGGGAACGGTGGAGGCTGAGATGGGAAAGAGGAAAGCAGGTGAATATAGGGTTGTATCATTTCCTCGGCTACATGATACACATGTTCTTTTATATCAGCTCCATGAAGTTGAGGTAGGGGAAAGCGTATTGGAGGTCTGGTAGAGTGTGGCTGCTGTAATTTGATTCCATGAGCCTCCAACTCGGCTGAAACAGCACGTGGAGGAGGGCCGTATTCCGATATGACTGAACCGAACAAAGCGGATTGAAGCTCACGACTGAACATTTGAATTTTAACCTCATTAAACACCGGTTCCTCCACGGATCCGCGGAAATCAGGTGTGTATGCCGGTTTGCAAAGATGACGACAATTGAGCTGAAAACAACTCCTCAGCTGTACTTTAACTCTGTAATATTATCACATTAAAGAGGAATTAAAGAGAATTATACCCAATGGAAGTCAACCGCCGAAGCATTTATTCGCATTTATTCTTGTCGGATTCAGGACAAGCGAATGAGAATCTTCGCAACCGGTTCAGAAGCAGACGACAAAATTTTTCAGACGGTGTAACGAACGAATCTGAAACAAAAGAGAATTTGGAAAGAATATAAACATGAGTATCACAACGCTTATCCCAAACACAAAGATAGATATTTTATATCAGCTAGATTTCAGTTGCCCGGTGAAAAACAAAAAAACTGGATGCTGCTATTTCTGTTCGACTTGCGTTGTTACTCTGTAGCTTCAGTTTAAAGTCTCGGCATCATTCCAGATAATTTTAACTACTCCGGCTTTGATGGTCACACTGATTCGATCGGAATTATATTCACATTATGCAAGTCAGCCTTATCGGTAGAATTTACTCGAACCCGGAGCAGAGTAGCTTTCTCGTATGACTGAATACTAAACTGAACAAAAGGCGACCTGACGATATTTTCTATTTGTGTCATATCTGCAGCAAAGTACCGACAGACTAAGAGAATTACCGCTGTAGCAACTAATGTGTGCATTTGCACTTGCTCTTGCAGAACAAAACACACAAACCACAATCGTCCGAACTAGTCTGCGAGAAAAAAACAGGACGCTTATGTTACCTACCAGTATCGTGGCTTCACACCTGGCGGAAGAACAAACATTACACGTCTCAAACGAAAACAGTGACGATTTGCAGGGGAAATGTAGTGAGTAGAATTGTTGCTCAGAATCAAATAACGTGTATTTGCAACGGTCTGATTCTAGACTAACGGGGTGATAGTAACAAGGAAACTAGTTCATGTTTTGCTCAGTCGGATCACAGACCCTTAGAGGGTGATACAAAAGCGCGCACGGTGTCCAATACGTTTGATTGCTCACCAGAGGCGGTGATTATCGCTACGAGAATGTCCTTGAACTAGTTGGAGTATCTCTTTTTGGGATGTTTGGAATCCGAGGTTTCCGGTTTCCTTGAATGGGGTGGCGGCCCGTGGCATTTAGAGGACATGAGATGGATATACACGCTTCTTCAAACAACATGTCACGATAAATGAAAATGGTGTCCGTTAGCTGTTTTCTTCTATCTCCCGAATTCCAACTATTAATAAAAGGGACATCTATTCGAGTTAATCTGTTTGTTTAGTTTTCCATGCCCAGACCAAAAGTTATTCGAAGACCGCCGGTAGAAAACGCAATAAGGACCCCGTACCGTAGACGAATAACAGGCATACACAAAGTCATAATCAATCCAGAATATGCTCTTCAATTTTTATTGATTTCTGGTAAGGATATTCTCCACACTTTACCCACAGAGCGCTAACTCGTTTACTTGATCGTGTCATGACCAAACTATGTGACCGAAAGCAATGGAAAACTCTAGTACCTGGTCTTATTTTGAGCACTCCTGACTTTGTCCCACCAACTATCTGCCCCAGCAAGCATCGCCATCACGACGAGACTGCACCTTGACGTGGTATGATGGCTTGCGCGCCTCAATGACCCTGCGAGCTATACAGGATGGCTCTTCACAGCCGCAGATCCAATCATGCCTGAAAGGTCAACGGGTAGAGGCCAGACGAAATTCAGTCTCAAGAGGCCAGCTGCGCGGGCACCTCCTGGTCTTCTTTTTCTCTCCACACCCGCCCCTGGAGAGATCACTCCAGCAAATAAACACGGTGAGGGGCAGTTTACCGGTCAAAAAAACCCCGTTAGATGGACGTAGGAGCGGCGTACCTGGGGCATCCTCTCGACGGTAGAAGTCTTCGTACTTCATTGGACAGCTACCGCCCGCCCAAGCTGGGCAGCCCCAGCAATAAGGTGTTGTCCCGTCCACGTTCCGCTTGTCTCATTGGGTGCATGAGGCTAAGGGCTGATCCCGAAAAGCGGACCGAAAATCAACGCACCAGCAAACAACACAATCAATCGAAATTCAAAGGCCTTGCGTGACGGGTCTCTAGAAGCTCCCACACGGGTGCTTCGTTCAC